GAATAAAATAGAACTGAGTAATGAGAATTTACACTGCACAGCTCTATAAGCATCTCAGTAAAAATACCCCATGCACTCTGGTTTCYAAACATTACCCTGCAAATGTGCAAGAAACCTCTGCCTTAAATTTGCTTTGAACATGAAAGAATCAAGAGTTTGATGCACCTGGTGGTCAGTGGGTCTGTGGAAGTGGGAGACAAGGTATTATTTTGCAAAGCATATTTATGTCAAAAGCTTCTTTCTATAGGACAATGCTAAATTGATTGCTAAATAGAGTTACACAGAAAAGGATTTGAGTGTCACTCGTTCCTGCACAATCAGAGAAGCAACAGGCACAGCCAGAGGGTGATTCCAGATTACCTACTTAGAGCACTGGTCTAAATAAGCCTTTAGAAGTCTCTAGAAGGTCACTAGGTCCTTCAAGTTCATTTTTGTGAATGTCCCTTGTGACCTATCAGTGGAATTTATTTCCTGGTTTTGTCACTTTTTCCATCTGAAAGTGATGCAGAGAGCTGACACAAACCCCAAACAGTCTGGGATTGCTGTGTGCTCTAAGGGTCAAGAAGAAGCTTTAGCCCAATGGATAAAACTGATATCAAAAATTTATCCGAGAGCAAATATTACATAATGTGCTTACAGACTATATGTATGCTGTACTTGCTGCTGAATTTCTGAAAAAAACCTCCCCAAAATAATCTATGTCTATGTGTAWCTCCATGCAAGATTTGCATCACCATACTGGGGAACTGTTCTTACACAGAATATATCAAATGTCRTCACTCTACCTGTGCCATAAGTGCATCATTGCAGCCTTGAAAGAAGTTGGTCTAAATCACTGAAGTTGAGAGTATTTAAATTATCTTAAATACTGACACATAGGCACTGAGATTACTCACTCAATGTATGGGCTTTGCCAAAATCAAGGTCTCAGTGGCAGGAAGAAGAAAATATTACTCTCCTGTCAACTCTGATTACACAACAAAGAAAATAATGAAACATAGCATATGTTGTCTGGTAAATTTTAGAAACAACAGCTTTCCATGCTTTAATTTTGTGCTCAAATATATCTCAGCTGTGGATGTTCTGAAAGCTTCTTCTTCCTTTAACACTACTCTTCTGTCACAACATTTCTAAGAGGAGAATGTAGATATCACACTCTTCTAATGAGTAAAGGTGTTAGAAGTTACAGCACCTCCAGTCACAAATATAAGAAAAAAATACATCATTTAATGAAGGTAGGTTRTTATTTTTGTCCCCATGTACATATTAAGCACTTTTAACCACATCTGAAAATTTGCTTTGAAGACATTTGGATGAATTTAAAACATTTTAATTAAAAGAAGCTGAAGACTATAGGAAATTTTCTTCTGTATTTTTCTCTCTCTGGTCTAGTTAGTCTCTCCTGCATGCMGAATCTCTCAGCTACACAGACCACCTATACTCTTCATCTAACTCTGAAACTAGGTCTTTTTTCATCTCTGTTGGTGAAACACCAGCTATCAATTTAGGTTTTATTCAACAGAGCTCTTAAACAAGTTCAGACATCTGCTTAAATGCTTTAATTAATTTGTGCCATTAAGAAACATTTATTASTGTACTGTATTAAGTAATGTGAGTAATGTTCAGGGTGTCATTGATGGTTCTCAGGACAGAGTCTTTAAAAGATTGTCTATAGCTCAGCAGAAATACCCACAGTTTTCAGGTCATAGGAGAAGAAAATTTAACAGCCTAAGAAAATTTTACTGGAATGAGATATGTAAGAAAAAATAGGCCCTCTATTACATAAACTGCCTAATTTGAAAACTAATTTGCTGCTTATGTTTATCAAAGACACATGACTTGCAGACCAGATTTTTGGCTAGACCATTACTACTTCTTTATTTTCCCTGTGATGCTATGAGGAAACCTATTTATATCAGCACTGTAAAATCCTTAAAAGCTGAATATGCATTTCATGCAGCGGAGTTGAGTGACTCCAGCAGATCTTACAGATGAGAAYGTCAGGTCAGCTCTTTCACAGTTCTTGCACTCAGGTTTTTTCTGTACTTAATTTGTGCGTGTAGAAGAGACACAGCTCTGACAACTTAGGCTAAACTCGCAGCAGTTACACAAATACACCTTCAGAACTGTAACTCTACTGAAAYACTAAACTCTGTTCTCAACTGAGTTGGTTTTTACTGTGACCAAAATCACATTTTCAGGGACAATAGTTGCTATAATGCATTTTAAAAAAAAGGTCTAGCAGGCTATCTTAGACATACAGCTCACTAGTATGGTTTAATTTTGCACATATTTACAAGTGCCAGATTTTTCAATTATAAATATTTATCATAAAGACATGATTTTATCTTTAATTAGCCCAACTGTTAAGGACACTTCTAATGTGAGAAATGAAATTCAGTATTTCATACCAGATGTAGCCTCCACAGCTAGTCTTTTATCTCTGCTTGTAATGACAGATACTTACACGAAAGCCATTATGTAACATGGGAGGGATTAGAAGAGAATAACTATGGAAAATTTGGGCTTTGGAATTGAAAAAAGAATTTTCCAAAGTTGCATACCTCACTTGATTGTACCTGTGCAACATGATCACACTCGAAGTATCTGATGATTTCCTATGCATATCCATGTGAATTTATTTGTTCTTGGGAAGACCTGAATCACTAAATTGTCTTTCCTTTCCTCTCTAACCTGCTGAGTTATGGCTCTGTTTGACACTTCCAGAGGAAGTGTAAACATGAGAACTGGGATGATTCCAGGTTTGATCCTGTGTTATCAACAACTGAAAATATGATGCCCATCTCATAACGCCAAACACAGCAAAGCCCTAAACCATGCATGGTATTGACATTTTGCATAATTATACAACAAACCTTCGGCGTGGTTACAAACACTGAAACAGCAAGAAGCAGAAGGAATGAAGGAAGGACTGGTGACAGGCTGGGGGAAGAGTAACAGTGGCAGCCTGGTGGACTCCTAAAAAAGGCAGACTGACTTTCTGTTTCCAGAATAAAAATGATTACACCAAATTTCTAAATCAAAAAAGAGCAAAGTAGATTGGGATTTCATTAGCGATATTCTGTTTTAATCCTCCAAGAATGCATGAAGTGAACTGAGAGCAAAACCAATTTCATGTGTAATGATGTGCTGAAATTGATGATTCTTTGGCAGAGCAGAGGTTCAGAAAACAAGTGGTGTCCCTGCATCTMTGTGCTTCTATCCCCCATGCCAACAGCCTCTCTGCAACCCGCTGAGACCTCTGTGGTCTCACAAAAGCTGCTCTTCACAGAATAATAAAATGGAAACACAACGCACCCGTTACTAAGGAAACTCTCAGCCAACTTTTGATTCAGCTCATTTTTCTCAGCAGTCTGAGTTACTGAGCTGCCTGTTCTCTGTATTCATTTCATTAGAAAAAYGTTTGATTATTGGCTTGCAAATGTTACCTATTGACTCAGTGTATAGTACCGAGCAAGCCAAAGATCTGTGTTTAAACACATCCACTAAGGAACCCAACAACTTATCAGACATGGGAATGAGTGACACAAGAAGAAATGAGGGATGGAACAGAAAGGTGGCACAGAACGGAGCTTGGGAATTTCTTCCCTTTAGTTGTACTGCTCACTTCCTGTTCTGTTCCTTTCCCCCGTCATTTGAAGCCTTCCTGACTTTTTAAGCTTCTGGACACCCTTCTAGGAAACACCATAAAGTAACAGCAATGTTACAACGATAATAATTTTGTATAACTTTTTTTTACCTCTTGATTAATTAAATTCCCAGTACTGAGTATTGTCAAATGTTACTAAACCAACTGGATGACAGAAAATTCTAGAACAGAACGATTTTGGTTCCCACATTAATTTCCTGGGATGCACCCATGAACTGGGATGTGCTGCAGTCCACAGTYAACAGGAAATCACAGCTGCCCAACTCTCCAAGAGCAACACTTCCCACTATATTAACACCAGCACAAAAATAAAAAAAGATATGAGACACTCCCAGCATGTCTCCTTATGGGGAAAAAAACCCCACATGTAAATCTTGAATCTGCAAATATATCAGTGCCCTGGAGAGCCCTCAGGGAGCTGTGAATTTTGGCCCCACTGATTGGAAACAGTAGGAGATTCAGAGCTTGGAAATTAGGCTGAGTTGGATGAGGCCAGGCTTAAAAATTATATGGTAAATTGGGAACAAGATCATAAAAAATTTGCATTGTTCAGTAATCCAAATAATGTGCTCTCTTATAGATACAGAGAAAATGACATTCTGATGCAGCRATGGCAGGAAATTTTGAGAGACTGGCACACTCCAGGAACATGAAGGCAATTACCAGAAAACAATGGGAACAGCATGGAGGAGTAGCTGTGTACTGTGTCTGTCTCCATGGCGTTCAAGTGGCATCACACAAAGCTGTGGGATTTGGTACAATTACTCATTTAGCACATGCTCCACCTGCCCTTCATCCCAGACATGGCCCCTATTAGAAACGGATGTGCAAAGGATTGATTTTAGCAGAGCAAGACTTGTTTTAACACTGAATAAATCTGGGGTGCATTACACTCTTGGTTTAAAATTGGCTCAGTGTGGGAGAAAACAACCTCCAAGGTAATTGTGAATTCTGTTTCCATGTTTTATGTAAAACAAATTCTGTATTTTTCTCCTATGGCAATACCTGATCTTCCATTCTGTAGGCAAGAAAAACTCAGGTTGTCTTATATCTGTCAGTACTTGCAAAATGGAACCCTTGCTAGTTACATTAAAGAACTTTTCATGTTTAGCTTTTTACTTTTCACTCAGTTTTAAATTTTGTTTGGTACTTTTTACAGGTGACTAGATTCAGTTGATAATTTTGATCTACGRGAAACAATGAGGCTTATAAGCTGAATTTAAAATTCCTTGAAAACAGTACCATTTAAGTTTAAATGTATTTTGTCTGGCAGCAGAGMCATTAGCAATTTGAAACAAAAATTCAAGAATAGGAAAGTTTGAGAAAATACCTGCTTTATGAAACTTTTCCATTATCTCCTGACGAACCGATTTATCCAAGTTGAAATAATCGTGGTCTTCATCAGGTTTGCTCAGAAACAGAGGGATGTGCTGAAATACAATTATATGCTTGCATTTCTGTTTTGCAGCGACAGCCAGCTGCTCATCGAGCCAGGCATCCTGGGCTTGCCTTAACTCAGGGCATTGGGAAGAATCAAAGTAGAGCTGAGAGTTCAGCACAAGAAAGAAAACACCTCCAACCCAAAAGCTGAAGTARTCATCTCCCCAGTTCTTGCAATAATCATCTATTGTTTCTTTGGTTGGAGTATTGCCAACATCATGATTCCCACTGGCGAACACCAGTGGAATGTCCTGGTTAGTGTTCTTCAGAACATCCTTTAAATCCTGCAGTTGGTTGTTCCTCCATCGGGTTCCTGAAGAACAAAAAAAAACAACCAAAAAACATTTAAGTGTTTATGTGTTCTTTTCCCACGTTCACTATTAGCTTTTGTTTATGGAACTGTGCATAGTGAAAAATATTCTGCATTAGATGAGATCATGAAAACATCTTCACCTTATCTGGGTACAYCCAGCCCTGTCCCCCCCCTACCAAAGCTCAGCCCTCAGTCAGCCCCAAGGCAGGCTCTGGACGTGCCCAGCAGAGAGCACAGCAGCAGCTGATCCACGGGCACTGCTTTGCACCAAGAGCTTCAGCTCATTCTCTTATCTGTGCACTGATGATGGGGTGAAAAAATACAGCGGCTGTGGATGGYGTAACAGCACAAGGGTGAAAACCAGGTCAACTTCTGGTTTATATTCTGTGGCTGTGCAACAAAATTAAGGGTTGTTTGGTTTGGGTATTTTTCTCATTACAAGAACTATTTTAACAGCAAAAATTTAATCTGTGTCTTGTGGTGACTTATTTATATGATGAGTCTCAATAATAAGCATACCATTAATTTCAGAAAAAGGTGCACTTTGCTAGTTTTCCCTGCATCTCTACCTTTATATTAATATGCATATTCATACAGTTGCACTTCTGGATGTCAGGAATTTGTCCCTGCCTAGGAAGACTTATCTTATTGACAGATTGATTTACAATCATTTAAAACAAATTAGAAACAAGTTTTAAAAAGGGAAGTTATTTTCTCCTAATGATTACAGAGGTTTTCCTAGGTTTTCTAAAGACTAATCTTTACCTAGAGGCTATTAAATGTTTATTATAATGCATTAAGTGAACACATATAAATTGTATTTGTCCTGCAATACATAGCACTGAGCTAGCATGGGCCCATTTCAMAAATACTAACTCCATTTTTTAACCAAGGAGCTGTAACAGGATTTTTACAAGAACACTGAATTCAGATTTCTAACACACACTTGCACACAGGTCTATGCCAATCAATCACGTCTTTTTCCACTTTGAACACAAATTGTGTTCCACTTTCCTACTACACACATGCATTACAAAACAGAAATGTATAAAGGCGTTCCTGTAYTGCTACTATGAGACAAAAGGGGGTTCTAGCATTTCTTCAAAATCTTTATAATCAATATGTTGAAAAACACTGACCCTTATTAAGAAATATTTTGTTTTACATACCCTACATATACAGACTTTAGTACCACCTGACTGCTGTTACTAGAATTCTACAGCTTTAGAAAAACACTGAGAAAAAAACAYAGAACATCTAAATTAAGGCTAAATGTAAAGACATTGATACGAGGTGCATAAAATCCAAATCCACAACTCTCTTGTGTTTCACTGTTGCACTGGGTAGAAAGTTATTATAGCAAAATCTTTGAGTAACTTTGCAAACACTGCGCATTTGATACCCAGAGGAATCTAGAAAGAAGTTGAGAGCAGATTACTTTGTGGGGTATATTAATGATCAATTTAGGCTTTTCTTCTTGTGAATCCCAGGAAAAAAACAGGACAAGCAACATCTATATTACTCAGAGAWGCCGAATTTTAAAAAATAAAACCAAAAATTCAAATAAACCTGGCACACTGCTGTCCATGGGGTAAGGAACATGCTTTTTCTGCCATTCCCCATTTTCCTATGGAAAGAGTTGGAAATTTCAAACTCTAAATATGAAAATGCATGGGGGAGGAGGGCAGGGAAATGCGAGGGGGGAAGGCTCTGTTCRGATCTATGTAAACACATTACACCATGTTAAACTCCATGCTATCACTTTGGGAAATTTAGCTAACAGTTGCAGAGTATAAAGACATTTATGCAAAAGTTACAGAAATAATTTGCAGAATTATGTATACCTCTTCCCAGCGGTGAAATTCAAGCTCTAGAGACTAACACTTAGATTAGATTTGTCGACAGCAGGGCACTGATTCCCTCATTTAATGAAATATTATTTCTATAGCAACAGAGAAACATATTCAGTGTTTATTGCAGAAAACAGATTGCTCAAAATGGAAAACAAGGTCTCTGCCCAAGAGCCTAGGAAATCGTACTAAGGAGAGATTGGTTTAGAACAACTGCATCTTGGCTTGACCTTTTCTTGGTGAAGGTCAAAACAACTCCAAAAGAAGAGAATCCCATGGAGACAAAGGTGGGAAAAGGTGGAGTAAACTCTCAGGAGCCCTGGGTGTAGTGCTGGAGAGGAAGGGCTCAGATGTAGCACAACCACAACAAATAATTTGTGCYACAAGGAGCCCTCTGGAGACACTTCCTTCTAACTTTACATCTGAGGTAAGCAACAGGTAAACAAGATAAAGACAGTAGTAAAGAAGGAAGCCACTGGAAAATAAAACTGGAGTGATCACTGACACAGCATAAAAAATATCCTTTTAATCTCTCTCAGGCACAGAGCTGGCTGTAATATTTAATTATTCCAGTTATTATAAAGAACGTTTCTATTTGATGACATGTATTTCTWTGGCCTAGATGGAGCTCAGTTGGAGGTGAATAGAGAAATAAAACAGTGCCAAAAGGCAATGCAAAAAAAAGAAAATTGTGAAGTGTCAGGGTAGATGCAACTGAAATAAATTTCTGTAATGTTTATCTTGGCATCATGTGCAGTGACATTTTTAAGTCCCAGGCCGCAGTTTTCTGTCTTTATGTTAGGTTGCGTAAATAAAGTCTTGCCCTGAGATAAATGACTTCGCAAATTAATAGCCCATAAAGAGCAGCTTGGGGTTTATGAAAAACATGAAAGTGAGAAGTGTTGTTGATGCAGTTGTGTGCAGTTGCAGTCCATCATTCCTGGGAGCCGAGTGATGTGAACAGGAGCATAAAGGTGCAGTGACACCACTCCTGCTGCAGGGCAGCTTTCTGTTGTGTTTCACTGTTTGCCTCAACACCTCCAGTGCTCCATCCTGCACTCCTAAAGGAACCACGACAAGCAGCCTTCACACACTGAAAGAGTACTTTTACAGCATTTTTGCTGAAGCTGGCTTCAGTCAGCAAAATTCACAGATTATTCTGCCAAAGAAATAATCCTCGAGCTACTAATCCTTAGTTACAGTTTACTTTSGTGTTCTACAGAAGGATGCAATTCTGTAAGAACAGGTTGGGTTTAGTTTTTGTAAGGCACCAGGTAATATAAACAACTTAAAGCACTGTTTCCCCCCAACTGTATCTCTGCAATGCTGATGACAGTTTTTGTATGAGACAATTCTTCCCGTACAGTAACCTCCACCACCATTGTAACTTTTCCTCCAGAAGTACTCCAAAGGAATCAATAAATTAACAATAGCATCAGCTTTTCTACTGATATGAATCAGCAGAGGGGGAGGCTATAAAGGCATTATGAGGTGGTGCCCCCAGGCATTTMTTTGCTTCTTGTGCTCAGAGAAGTCTAAGTACTCCCCCCAAGGTAGGAGAAGCCTTTAGGATGAAGCCACCCCAGACATCTTCAGCCAATTTAGCATCATSTAAAAATGTGGCACAAGGATTTCCTGCATCTCTAATTACTTGGTCTCAGTAACTGAATATATCTTAAAAGTGTCCCAGACTTAGAGGAGCTGCAAACTCATAATTTTTTAACAGAAAGCACAAATTTTCAGTTTGAAAAAGAAAAAAAGAAAATTRACTTTTATGCCAGCAACACTCCTGAAAAGCCCTGATGTGACAACTGCAATCTGTTTAACATTTAACCCAAGAGACTGACTATCAAAGAGCAAGTAAGAGTTAGATAGCAGACAGAAATATTGTAAAAAGTATCAAATAGAAAGAGTACCTACATTTGATAAAAGCAAAATAGAAAATGTCAAAACACCACCAATGCAAACAACACTGGGCCCATTCCTTCTGTAATTTATGGTGATATCAGAAGTACTCTGACATCAAAAGACAACTAATTTTTGTTGAAAGCAATCACGAGTGTTAAAAACCAACAACAGACAGATTGTGTGTTTTCCTGGGCCTTACAGTGCATTAMAATCGCTTAAATCAAAGAGTCTAATTATTTTGAGTACTTCCTGTTCTTGATGACATTTGTCTTGTTTTGTGTGTTTCCATGACYGCATGCAGTTGTCCTACTCCTTCTGCATGCCATTTAGAGGACTCCCCTAGAACTACGCCCTAAATTTTTGGGAAGCGTGGAGTCCAAGGTGATACTCAAACAAGCACTTTTTTTTTTAGCTGCATTGGAGGGAATGTAACTGCTACCCCCATCTCCATGGGAAAGCAGCCTCCTCCTGTAAAACCAGGACTACCTTTCATCTCTGCTCATCTTGGACACCTGGCTGTTGGCTCCAGATTAACAGGGTTACAGGCAAGATCCTACATTGCCCTGTCTGCTGACCCCTCCCCAGGGACAGCCCCACAGATCCAAACCCAATGGTATCATCAGTTGTACCTTCCAGGCTCCTTCTGCAATTGCAGCTGATTGCTGTGCACTAACACAAACATAAATGGAACTGAGCTCTGCTYCTGTCACATCTCAAATACTGATCCACAGCTCTCCCTGATCTCTGCAAAGGGAACCCAGCACCCCTTCAGAGCACCGAGGCAGACAGAGCTCCCCCACCTCAGAGCTCTGTTCCTCACTGTGCTGCCCCTTTCCTGCCTTCCCCATCCCATCAATAGGGGTGATTCTTCCCTACTGCCATGGCCAAACTCTTCCCTCTACTCATTTGTTTACAACTGACCATCCCATAAAAGCAGTGATTCTCTCATGGGCCATGAGCAGAACAAAACACCATGGGCTCCACACCCTTTCTGTCCTAGGAAACTACAAAAATGTGATAACAGACATGGCACCACACAGAAAGGAAAGACCTCTCTGGCCACCCAGTTCAGTCTTACTGGTGCTCTTYCACTGTTTCTTGTTTTAAACTTAAAAGCTTCCCCTCTGGTGTCTGCTGTAATGAGCTAATGCAACACACTGCGTCATTCCAAATTATTACATGCAAGAATAAGCTGATCAATTTTAATAAACCCATTATGGTCATGTTCTGAAATAGGTTTTT